AGTGTGTGTCGACGTCTCTGGCAGGCCTAATAATCTTGAACTAATTCCTCCGAGTTCCTTCTTTGTGTGTTGAGAAATACTTCAGTAATATGGGTGCTTTATTGGGTTCTGGGTGGAACTTTTGTTGAATTTATATTTTCTTTTAAAATATCTTTATTAATTTGCATCTCAGACGTTAATCATGACGTTTTAATGTGTAATTTCAATAAGTGTATCCAAATCTTTGAATACCCTGGAACCCGAAAAAATTACCGCTTTGCTGAATCTAGTACTGAACAATGAAAAGTTATTGATGGGCGGAATGCCGTTTTACTTCCGCTAACGAATTAAAAGTTCCGTCTGTTTCTTCGTGTTTTGCTGATGGTTACTGCCAAATTAGCATGCAAAAGATTTTCGAGGTTTAGATGGAATGGAGAAAAGTACTTCTGTGCCAATTTATCTTGCAAATGTGTGCGAGTTTCTCTTTGAATTTGAAATGCTAGAATGCCGACATTGATTAATTACAGTAACTTTTTGGACATCCTGTACTTTTTCTTCTAAAATTTGAATTTTAACGTACTTTGTTGTATAAGGGTGACACTTTTTTTTTTCTTTCTCGAATGAAACTGTAGCCGTTTCCCGTAAAACATGATTTGTCTCTCAGGTGGGTGAGTTGAAATTGGAAGGTTTTCGCGGATGCGAAGAAAAGCCACTTTTTCTCCTCCAAAACGCAGTTTCAGGTGGATTTTGATTTGGGGGCTCCGATGTGTTGTTATCGTGTACTTCCCAAAAAGAAGAGACCTGTTCGCATCTTCTCAGTTATATTCCCCTCCTTTCATTGTCGTTTTTTGCGATTCGCACGCAGTGTTTGGATGTTCCACGTTGAATGTAATAAAAAACAAAAGCTGCTTCAGAAAAAAAATTGCGCAACAAAAACCGGGGGCCTGTCTTTTCACGCTCGGATGAAAAAAAAAATGAAAAAAAAGCGGGGAGTGGAAGCAAGGCAAACGGAGTTCAGTAAAGCTTGCAATGCTTTTAACGTCACTTTATTAAAGAATAATTAATTAAAGACGCCACTAATTAAATATAAAATTTGAACTCGTGTCTGCTTCTGTGCCTGATTTTTTTGTTTGTTTTTTTTTCTCTCCGTGGCGTCGATTTTGGCAGAGCCGTATTTATTTCTCCCTCCCCCTTTGTTTTTTTTTTCGATTTTTCTCTCGCTCCCGTTCATCATGATCGTCCATCTTTCTCTTGATGCTTCTCTCGTTATTTTTTTGAAAATTTTCATGGTCAGAGCATTGCTGAAGTTGGAATTTTTCATTTTCTCCGTTCTTTGCCTTGCTTCTGTTCTTCTGTGTTTGCAGAGGTCAGTTAGGCGACTACGACCTGGACTTGCACACGTTCATGGACGACATGCAGCACGAGATTGCGCCAGATTTGCACACTGATTTCCCGATGGACTTTGGCAGCATGAATCTGATCGATCAGCTTTTCAACAATGCGCCGCCGACGAGCGATGGGAGCACTTGAGAAAGCGGGAAAATTTCGAAGAAAGCAGGGACTGAAGGGGGGGGGGGGACACTGATTTATTTGTGTGTGTTCTATTAAGCCCGCCGAAATTTTGACTTCCCCTTATTTTTTTTGTCTTGAGTTTGCAGCGACAGAGCGTATGAAAGTTTTTTTTTTTCTTTGGTCTCTCTTGCTAGAAGTGGTGGGATTTTCCAGGGAACTGAGTAGATTTTGATTTTCGTGTGTTCCTTGGTGAAAATGAGCGAGAGAGATTTTGAATTTGGGATTAAAAGCCGTGGCGGCGAGGTTTCTTCTGTTTTTCCGTCATCACATTTTGTTGAAAATATTGCGCAAACCTGGGTTTATAGAAACTGCGATCGGGTGAGTTCCGCTATACTGTATAGGCACATCGTCATTGGCTGTTAATTTTCAAGAAAATTCCTCCACTGTGTAAAATGGAGCAATAATTTTCCCTGTCGTGCCCACGATCACCAATTTTGTGACTTTATTTCCGATTTTTTTTAGCTTCGCCGAAGTTTTATGCAAGTATCATTTGTTGTAGAACAGCTTAATTGATATTCGTCGTCAGTTCTGGTTTGATTGAAGTTATCGTGCTTGTTCGGGTTTGAGAATGGTGCGCCACCTATCCGAGATTCAACGAAGCAACGAGGGATGAATTACTGTACTGTAATGTTCAACTATTTTATCGAGTTTGAGATTATGTGTATCGATCTTTGTCTTCGCTAAGTGTGAGGGGCTGGTGTAAAAGAAAAATAGTTGATGTTCGCCGAATAAGTTTAGTTCTTCGCATTTCATCAGAGAGCTGTACCCCTTTTTTGTGGCTTAATCCAGGCTAGATTTTCAGTTTAGTCAGGTGTGAGTTCGAGGCGCTATAAATTTTGTCAGATGTTTGAAATTCAGGGATTCACACAGAAAAGAGTGAGGAAATATTGGAGAACTAAGGGCCTCAAATTTCCTCGATTTCGGGGTCACGACTTCGGGCTAAGGTGAAGACTGTAAGTGTGCACTGCGTGTTAATATCACTTACTGTTGGGTGGCTTTTGAATGAGAGTTAATATTTTCTTTTCATGCTTGGCTTGCCTTTTCTTCAAGATGGAGGGAAACGTTTAGATCCATCGCAGTCAAAATTGGGAAAATATTTCGAATTCGTTTTCAGAGGAAAGAAAATTGGAACTTTTGCGTTGACCTGAATTGTAAGTTTATAATTTTGGAGATTGGGTTTATCTTCGTGGAATGAGTTACACGGAAGCTTTTTTTTTTTTTTTTTTTTTTTTTTTTTTTTTTTTTTTTTTTGTAACCATCAGCAAAACACGAAGAAACAGACGGAACTTTTAATTCGTTAGCGGAAGTAAAACGGCATTCCGCCCATCAATAACTTTTCATTGTTCAGTACTAGATTCAGCAAAGCGGTAATTTTTTCAGCGTACTTATTCATATTAATGGATGTCGGAAATTCTCGTCAGTTTTTCGCTAACTCAAGTGACCTGATAGTTTTGGGGCTCGATGCAATAGCAGATGGAAATGTGAACTTTTTTCTGATAATAAACTTCAGGTTCACCGAAGAATGCCGCGGTTTAAGTGGATGCGCGTGTTTTTGTTCGCGATGCGTTTTTTGTTGGCGTGAGTGTGCGTAATTTTGTATGTGTAAATATTCCGCTTGTTGATTCCAACGCAGGAAACTTTCCCTCAATACAAGCAATCTTCCATTGAAAAAAGACAGAAATGGTGCCGACCCTGGGTTACCTTCGTTATGTGAAAAGAACTGGGAATTGCACATCCGGCCGATACAGAATTTGCTGTGCGCTCAGAGAAGGGTATTTTAATGCTTCCATAGAAGAGACAAAGATAATGAAGTTTACTGTGGGCAAGAATGTGGTGAATTCTGTTGGCGCGACGAAAGCAGAAAGCGAGATTTTAGGTTTGTGGAGATGATACCCATGTTGAAATCACATATGTTCGAAACGCGGCTTTGAATGTGCTGTACTGTTCGATTTTAAAGCTGCGATGAGTAGCATCAGTTGTTTTCCCGGGATGTCTATGACGGAGAATTTGTTGAGGGATTTTTTTTTTTAGACGTTCCTTCGTTGTTTCCGTTTGCGTTGGTGGCAGTCGATGAGTTTCGCGCGAAAATCTCGTGGAATGTGCATTCGTAATGAGTGTCTTGCTGGTTGATGTTGAGGATTTTATGCGTGTGGGGAGTATCAACGTTTCGAATTCCGACTGAAGAATAAAACGGTATTGTTGAAAGTGTTCATCTGGAGGAAGATGATTCGAACGCCATCTGTTGTAGTAGAATTTAGCAACGAGGTGATGTAGTCACAACAGATTATCTCTTCAAGAGCCGGGAGTCTGATTCCAAGGAGAGAGGATTGGCAATTGTTGAGATTTTTGTGAGGGGCCAAAACTAACAGTTTCTGATCAAACTTCTTGAGTTTGAGATACATAATGGGTGTCCAAAGTTCAGAAGTGGCTGCACTGAAAGTATATGGAGCATTATATATGTCACTTTCAAAAAGTCATTTTTATGATCTCAAATTATTGATTTGAGTATTTGAATATTTAAAACGTGGCACTCAATGAGACCTCTAAAAATATTAGACCATTTAAGCAGTTTTAATGAAATTTACTTACATGCCGGTCTGAGGATACATCTATGCAAAACTGAAATACCATGTGCACCTCTGCATCACGTTATAATGAGAATAAGGAACCATTTCACGCGTACACTAGATGCTTAATACAAAAATGTACAATGCACTGAGCATTTGCATTTCTCTCACTAATTCTAGAGGATATGGAGGTGCTCACCAGATAATTTTAATAAAATTAAATCCCTGAAGCTGGTTTAGATGCTACTGCATCTGTATTCAAATGAAACATGTGGACTCTCTCTGCAACAAAACTGCACAGACCATAAAATAAATTGTTGCATATCAAACCACTATAACATGGAGAGAGCCCAATTGGACCACAAAAAATATTTGTTATATATGTTTGTCCACAGAGAAATATCTCTGTGGACAAGATTGTTGTAGAGAAAGATCCACCATTCTTTGCAGATTATATGTCTGCAGGCAAAATTTTTCTTTTTGTCAGGCATATACATTTATTGCTACAATTTACTGCAAGGCTGACGGCAAGAATTCTTAATATGTTATCATTGACATTTGGTCGACCAGTCCTTCCCATATGATGTTTTATGCAGACCGCCAGAAAACAATTTTTACAGGATTTTCCTGAAACCATCCTTTCTCTTCTATTGAATCAAAAATGTAATAGAATGCTTCTTTTTTGTAATTTCACTGGGTCTATATAAACACGACAGTACACTGGAATAACTGCAAGCAAATGCTGCTTAGATCATTTGAATTGATGAATTCATGACGTCTGTGTGTGACATTGCGGTTAAACCACCATTTTTCCAAGACGGTATTCTAAGAGTTCTACTGTCTGAAAAAAGCTTGAAATTGACAACTTGAATGCCATGAAGGTCTTTCTGACGTCGATTAATTTGTATATTTTCTATGTCCATCCAGTTTTCAGGCCTCAGCAGACAAAGCACGCTTTGAGAAAAATTCAACGAACATCGCCTTGACCAAAGAATTCCCTGGCACAAAATGGCCTCCAGGAAAGCTGACAAGAACAGGCGACTGGAATTGATCCGCAAGCTCAACGCTTTTCTCTGCAAAAAAAAGTTTAAAACCCGGACGTTAAAATTTGTCATTCTTTGAAAAAAACAAAATTAATATTGTACTACCGTAAGCGACGATTTTATCCTCAGTTCCATAGCAATGCAGTGTTGGTAACTGTATCTTGTCCCCAGTATAATAATGCGCATGTGGTCCGCAGAGAGACTTGAATCCACTGAAGAACACAGCAAAGCCGAAGCTGAATTCCAACTCTGCAATACGATGAGGAAATATTGTCGTCATGAATTACACCAGGATTCGTCCCACATGATATATTTGAGCCCATTTGGCTGAGCGGCAATTTTTGGAGGTCAATTTCACACTAGAAAGTGGGGATACAATTTCTATTTCTGCTTTAGCTCTCAATGAACTACTTTCTGATTCACGCCGTATTTGCTAGACCACTCAAGGGTTTCCTCGAATTCAAAAGCGCGAAGTCTCTCAAAATAAATGCTTCGGTAATACAGTACAGTAATACGGATCATTCAACGTGCCTCGTTTCTCCTGCAGACGACAGAGAATCCCGAGAAACGCGGCCCCTTGGCTGAAGCCCACAATGCCGTCGAACGGCCCGTTGTCGGCGACGAACGACGTCACGGCCTGAAGACTCGCATCAAATCCCAGGCATCGATCGCTAGGCTCGGATGACTTGAAGAAATCCTCTTTGTTGAAGTACCACCCGAGCTGCTCTGATACACGTCACATCATATCAACTTTAGCGTCTACTGTTTTCTTTTCTTTTTTTTTTCTTCTTCAACTCGAAGGTGCATTGAATAAAATGTTTCTCAGAAAATTACGGTCGGCTCGAATTCATTCGTTGCATTCACGGCTTTTCCGGAGGTTCAAGACTGCCGGAAACTTCATTTATATGGATTCTGTCAGGAGCAAATATTACTTCGGAAATCCAAGTACAGTAAAGTACTGGAAAAATCTGCAGTCGCCGACAAAGAAAAGTACTGGTTGTCCGAAAAGCTACTCTGCGTGGGAAATATTCAACACTTTTGTTTTGAATCTTGAGTAAACCATGCAGAAAGGCTTCAAAATGAATGGCGAATAAATGTATATGGAAAAAAATTAAATAATCCATGCTACCATGAACAAATGCAACGTTATCCTATTCACGGTACTCAAGTACTAACACGAAAAAGAAAGACACACACCTGGATTTTTCAGCCTAAAACTTGAATACTATTTCGTTTCAGCAATGTTTCCGCGATTTAAAAATTCCAATATTTCAAAAATACTGTAAAACCTATCAGAGTTCTAATTTTGACTCAAGTTGCGACTGCATTCAAATAATTTTCATTCTTTCCATTTTTGCTTGTTGAATGGGCAAAAAAAATTCATTTATCAAGTGCAACTAAACTTTTGAAATTCTGACAAATTTTAAAACTGCCTCTGACATGTACCCTCTTTTCTTCCTCTAAATTAAAAAGGTGCTTGTGAAACCCAAGTAAACGCAGTGGTTGCCGGTCCTTGTTATTTCATGAAATTTCTGCTAAGAACAAAATGAACTGTGGACATAGTGGGAATCCAAAAGCAGGTCCCATAATGACTCAATAAGAATTAAGATTCCATTGTGACACATTCAACTACTTTCAAGAAAAATAGAATTTTAAGTACATAGTAGGGGACAATCATACATTAGGTTCATGTACCGTAATTGCTCGAATACGCAGAGCGCCTCTATTTTTTCAAACTAAATCACATTAATTTTGCTTGCAAATATTTCATGTAAAACGCATTACAGTCAACCCCTACCTAACAGACCTCCCGCCAAAGGGATTTTCACCCAACAGACCGCCTCTAGAGTCAATTTTCCTTCTGCTTAATGGATACCTATTGACATAAAATTAATGTTAAAAACTAAAAATTTTAATTTCTGAAGAAATGAATTCGCATAACAGACTTATCACATAACAGACTAGTCTGTTGAACAAATTAAGTCCACTGTGCGGGTGTCAACTGTACTTGCATTCAGATCCTGTCTCCTTCAACTGTAAATGTCGCTTAACATTTGTTCTAATCGAGATTGGACTTCATCGTCATTCAACATAATGTAGGTCAGACGCAAAGATGTACTGTACTTTACTTGCAAATGTAAGACGTCACTGCGTGTAAGACGCTAACTGATTTCTTAAAACCCATTTTTTCGCAAAAATAACAAAAGGTGAGTCTCATCTTCAAATGAATGCGGGTATTTCTCACTGCATACGAACTGTCAAGAGAACTCCATCTAATACTCAAAAAATGAATAAAATAAGCAGAAAAACGCTTCGGAAAAGCCGCTTTTCGTGGGAAAATCTTGAAAAGAAGGGATACCGCACCAGTTGAGTCTCCTGCTTCTAATCCCTGGCTCACGGAGTGTGGTGCGTTCATAAAGAAGAACTCGATCTTTTTCTTGAAAAGCTTCCGGAAAGCTCCAGTCTTTTCCCGGAAGGTCTCCTTTGTTTGTCTGTACCCATGAAGGCAAAAAACCTGGAAAGAAAACCGGGTTCGCACGTTATTACAAATAGCGATCTTCGAAAGAGATTTCGTAAAAAAAAAAAAGTAAGCGTTGATTTTCTTCACACAAACCTTCATGGTTCGTTCCATATGCGTCCTGATGGAAAGTTGCACCTGCTAAATTTTATCACACGCGTCTGGAAATGAATAAATTGGAAAGACGAACACCTTTCTTCTGAGCTTTCATTTTCTCGAAGTTAAAAGGTCTTGGAAGGAAATACCACGGAGAAAAAATGAAAACATTCTTATGGAAATTTTGAGGATGGTTATGAACAGCTATTACTCTTGCTATTTTTTTTACCACTCGAACGATGAACTAAAGAGTGAATCATCACACGCATGAAGAAAATCCAAGAATTTCGAATGAAGATAGAATAGAGCGGCTCACAGATACAAATATAGTGGGACTCAGACATTCAGAAACAGTACAAGTATTTCAAATTCCACAGAAATGTTATGACATCTAAAAATTGTCTCAAGATGCGGACAATAAATGCAGTAAAGCCTCAAGTTCCAAAAAGGGGATTTCTTTCAATTGAAAGCCACAATGAAGGCTTTCAGATCCACAAAAGAGTGATCCATTCAAAATTATAAAAAAAATTATCAACCCAGTTGAAGAGTTTTCAAATACAGTTAAGTATTAACAAAACCTGATAAGCTCCAATTCACAATTTGTATTGCTTGTATTTTTTGGAAAGAGGGCTCAGAAATGAATTCATATCAGTGGGTAGTGAATACTAATTCAACACATCCATGAAGACCTTCAAAGGCAAAAAAATAGAAAGTACTGTGTTATTTTTCAAGAGGGTGACTAGTAAGACCTGAATACCTGCAAGTGCACAAAAATAGGGCGTCATGTAAACTTCCTTCAAAATGTTCAATAATCTATCGCTTTGTCATTGACAGACTAAATTTTTTAATTAAAAAATACGCAATAGTGATTAAAAAGTTCTGGTTAAACTTTATAGGAATCTTACATCCACATCGTGGGAACCCAGAACAGAAAAAACGAAAGACGGGAAAATTTACCCGTCACTATCAGTGCTGAAGACTGATGTGGTTTACTATGACAATTTTCCTAAACATTCAAAAAGAACATTCATCAATTGGTCGGCTTATTTTATTGAATTAATTGTTTCACTCTTGTGTTCCGAATCTGTTCGCTTCGGTTGCCAATTTTAACGCCCTTCATTTTTCCTCCGCGGTTTCCCTTAGTAGTGAAAAGTTCACGCGTTTCAGTTTCAGACATAAACTTATCAGATTTCTTCAGGCGAGAATTTAAATTTATATTGAAAGTGAAAAACGTATCACATCCACAGTTTCATGAATTCTTATTTTTTAGGCGGACGAATTTTGACATCCGGAAGTCCATAGAAAACGACGGCGTGAGCATTATAGACTCTTGCGCAAACCCGTCGCACATTCGCAACGATATCAGCGAAATCCATGTCATAATACGGTTTCCCCGTTTCGGAGTTGACTCCCAGGAATGTTCGAAAAATATGCTTCGCAATCTCGTCGCAGTCCTTGTCTGTCACCGGATACAACATACCCATGACTCCAATGCTGATGGAATAAACACAAAACCAAAATCAAAATAAACTTCATTTTCCGCCAAAAAGCGGGACGTCTAGGAAGTCTTGATGTTATTTCGCTTTCATATAGGTGACGTCTGAATTTTCTTCCTTCTCGACGCTTTGCCATTCTAAGTTCGTCCAGGATCAATTATTTTCAGTAAGTTTTGTTATTTAGGATGCTATTCAGTAATTTAGATCAATTCGGAACTTGAATTCCCTACGGTCAACTCCCGAGTGGGTTCGTAAATTTAGCGATTCATGCGACACCTGCCTCGACTCATAGGAAGCAACGTAAAACCAAGCATCACGGTTGAAGAATAGATGTCAGCATTATGAATGTTTGCTCGGGATCACAGTTATAGGAAACAAAAATTGGTATTAATGTCCGGGACGGAATTCCGATAATTATGCGGCATTTCCTCAGATAGAGTATTTCAAGGAATGAGGATTTCTTCCCAGAAATCCGAGTAATTCACAATTTAAAGCAAATGATTGCGAAATCTCACTCCAACTAACCTTCCGATGCACAGGTAGGAGTAGGCAATGCCGAATGGTTCCAGCAACGGTCCCTCGGGAGAAATGGCACAACTGGCACAGCCGAACAACATTATCAAAGCTCGAGATTTCGCCTTTTCCAAAACTTCCTGTCTCAGATACTGTTGTCCATTTCCATGACCGAAGTACCTAAAGTTTCGAACAGAGACCAGAGAAGAATACTGTGTGGTACAGTGATCGTTGACATGACGATGTTCGGCGGCGTAAAGTTTGAAAAATGGGTTTGAATGATTTGAGCAGTCTCCACCTTATCCCGAACTGTTGTTCCCCTTTTATTTTCAACGCGGTATTATCCAAACCTAGGCTTATGTCCAAATTTGTCGAAAAATGGATGCGAAAATTTCAATTAATCTGCATTTGATCAGCCAATCCACATGGCTTCATCGGCAAAGAGTCTTTCAGAGAGCTCGGGACCGATCAGCGCCATTCTATGAAGCTTGAATATTGATACCTAAATTTTTCGGATAACGGACTCCCTGTGATCAAGTCCATAAACTGAGGCTTCACTGTGTGTATACGAGGACATCACAGACTCACGCGTAAATATCCATGCTTTCCAACGCTCGAACGATGCAGTCTGCCTTGGGTTCCGTGCCGATGCAACCCTTCCACCTGGGGTTGTGCTCGACAATACTTTTGAGTCGGTTCATGGTCTTGGGCAAATCGTTCCCCGGGTTCAGTAAGTAGTACAGCTTATTCAAATCCAACCTCGGCACACCATCCACACTTCGTTTCTCCAGTTCCCGAACAATGTACGAAATAGACGGGGCACGGGTCACTGGGTGGTACAGCAAATCCGTCAGGGACTCCCATGGAAGACCTTCGTAGTCCTGCCAAGGATTTACAACCGATAAAACGGTCATTAATACAGGAACAAAATTGATTCTCATCATAAGATGGGAACAAATGTCTCCGTTTTCAAAGGAAATTTTTATCGTAACTTGCGGTTCAGAGAGAAAATTCAATCCTCATCCTTCAGAATATGATTCATTTTATTCTTTCTTCCGCATAATTTCTCTTTATGTCTCAGCCCTCTTCAGAAAAGACTTTTCCCACGAAAATAGACTGCGAAAATTTTTCTCGTCAGAACTTGAAAGCTTGAATTATTAATGTAATTTTCGAGTACCATTGTTCAACGGTGAAGTTTTGGACTATTTTCACACATTTTTCTCACAAACCTCGTAGAAATCGTAGAAAAGTATCTACTCTGAAATCACGCGGGGAATTAAGGGATAATGTGTAAGCCAATGATGGGTTTTTTATTTTAAATCATAAATCGCAGCCAAGTTTCGAGGATAAATAATTGGAAAAATATGAAGTCGGAATCGGATCGAGGCAGTCCTTCGAAACAATCTGATAGTCTGTAGTTCCAAACTTTTGCTTGAAATACTGTGCAAAAAACGACGCAGCGTCTTTTCCATTAAAAAATATATAAATTTTTTTGCAAGCGCCGGAACACTTTTTTGGCACATCAAATAGATTTCACCTGAATCGCTAATCGATTTCACCTGAATGGCACGGGTCATACCTTAATTGCATTGCAAACAAAATGGTAAAAAATCAGGATGATGAAGAAAATCCATAGGTTCAACTATAGAAGGAAGGAGGGTGCTCAAGATTTAAAAAATTGACCGAAACAACTACAACAAAAAAACGAACAAGTTTACCTTATCAAGCACGAAGATAACAGGTCCACGCTGATACGTTTGCTTCAACAAAAACTCTGACTCCGGCATTTCATCAGTCCGGATTTGCAGTTGAATTTTCTCCGCAACGGCGTAGCATTCGGAATCGTTGAAATCCCGGTAATTGTAAGACAAAATCACGTCTCTGATGGCTAAAATGAGTCCGTCTGACCTCGAGGGTTTTCGGGCACACTGCAGCTCCAGAAGCAAATGCCTGCGGATTGCAAGGGATTTATAATACAGAAATTGAATACCCAAAACGAAAATAAACTCAAATCAAATCAGACATACGCAATGCACAGCAAGGCCTCATCACGGAATTGAACTTCGGGGTATTCTTCGGAAATGAATTTCTCAAGATCAGTGAGGACAGCAGATCTCAGCTTGAGGAACTGTTCCGGACTCCCATTGATGAGAGGAAGACCTCTGAGAATCGCACAGGCGACATCGTGCAGCCAATACCATTTCATTTTCAGCACCAAATTCTGCAGTTGAAATTAAACAAAGCATGCTTAGGGTATGAAAAAAGTTTACGAAAAACACATAATTTCAAAAGTATTGCGAAAAATTGGAAAAAAAATGCATCCACTTTCTCCAAACGATTTCTCACCGCGACCATTTCTTCGCATTTGTTTAAAAGTTCCTTCTCCACGCTTAAAAAATCGAGTAAAAAGTTAACAACAGATTCACTTTCTTTGAGGTTTATCGAAATCTGTGACGCCAATTTACAGCTGCGTACATTTTAAAAAGGGGCAAGAACACGAACATTTTCACAAGCAGGAGAAAGTCAGACGATTAACAATGCAAAAACTCACACTAGCGCGATTTTCGGCCATCTGCAGGGTTTCCGACGATTTTTCCTTCTTACTGGTTTCGTCGCCCAAAAGGATTTGGAAGTCCTTCTTTATCTTTCCCAGACTTTTGTACCCGTTCCAGCAATGTTCACATTTTGTACTGTCCTTCCAGGGATCAACGGGAATCAGACTATGCAACGCACATGAGGTATCCATCGGCCTTCTGACTGGCACCTACGAATCCAATTCATTATTTCTTGATTCATCACAGATCTCGAAGAAATCTGACAAAATCCGGAACCCAACGTGACCCGAACCGAACTAACTCAAACGTATGCAACGTATCTCGATAGAAATTGCAATTAAAGAAACTTGACGAATTTCAGGCGACTTCTATCCATGACAAATGAAATTACGGAAATGGGGCCTCAAAACGAACAGGAAATGCTTCTTCGGAAGTTTAGTCCTACACGGCGGCTTCACATAACAATTTCAACAGCACAGAAATCCGAGTATTTCTAAGATAGAATTGTAAAAAGTAAAAAACAGGACAAATAACCATAACTGAGCGGAGCCAAAGCAATTTCACAGTCTCCTTAGGCCTTCAAATAAATTCTCTGAAATACTTTTTGAAAAGTGGAATAAACTTTCTGCTTATCAATACGCATGTAAAATATCCCTCATCACGAAATACAGTTGAACCTTGATAAAAGAAATTCGGCAGAATGAGGTTTGAGTCAAGTCCCTGTCTGAATCCCCTTAGAAACAATCTATTAAAAACCTCCCTAAATCAAAGGCTTTCCTCCTGAAACCTCCGTGACTCAAATTTTCTGGAGGCCATCTGATTATTATTTTATGAACACAGAAAATAGAAAAGAAATTAAAATGTAACTTGTCGTGTTTTGAAAGGAAGTGAGAGAATAATTGGGCAAATAAACCCTTGCCTCCAAGTTTGGCATCCTGTAAACTCATTTAAAAGCAATTTAAAGCCGAGAATATCACAATTATGATTGCCTGTAATTCAACAAAAATGCTTGCTTCCCGATTTTTCTTCTGGTTCCTTAGAGTTAGATTGTAACGGCATCTATCTTTTACTTTCATACCTTGATACGGATTTCATCCTTCTTTTAACGGCTACACAGGAATACAAAATTCAACGAAGAGATGGGCATTGACTTGAGGATCTGTATCGTCAAGTGTTGAAAAAAATTTTAATTCAAAGAAAAATCTTCAATCTGCATAATACGCGGTTTCGTAAGCAGATATGTCTACAGGCTTTCAAAGAGCATTTCCAACATTTACTGCACGATAATTTGCATGATACAGTATCCAACGTGAAGGTACAGAAAAACACTCTCATTCCAAAGTTATCAGAATTCCTTTCCCGAGGGCAGTCATTTTTTTCACACGTAAATATCCAAAACCTAACGATGCATACCATCAGAGAAGGTCCATCTTTATTAATTCGAGCAAGAAGTGCTGTTCCGACACCTCTCTGATCTTCATTCCGCGCTTCCAGGTCGTGCTGCATCAAAACACATTCGGACTCATCAGCTGCGGTTGCACCAACAATCACGACTGTCCAACCTTGAAAAGACACGGAAAACGAACTTCGAAAAATCAATTTAAAGCAAAGCAGAATAATGTTTTATACTTGGTGGAAGCTTTTGTTTCATCAGTGGCACCAGAGACTTGCGGGGCAACTGACGTAGTGGTTTGTAGTTTTCTCCAAAAAGCCAATTATCTTTAATCGACCTGCAAGTGAAAAAAAATTTCCAATAGTTTCAAAAATTTGACCCGGGACAAGCACAAAATAATTTTTCTTTTGAACTATGATTCACCACTGCTTCAAATTCTCCCCGAAACGCACACGTCCAATTTAATCTCAGGACACTTTGAATTTTTTTTTTCATTAAAAGATGTAACAAGCAATAATTAGTGAACTCACGCATCTTTCATCCCAAATGCAGCTTCTTCGTTCTGCAACTGATTGTTCAATTCGAAAAACCAGCCAACGGTTCCAGCCAACAAATCCACAGCTTCCGGAAAACGTCCATCCATGAACAGTTTTCCAGCCAAAATTCGTGCCATGACTGGGAACATTTTTAATTAGGAAATTTAGCTGACACGAGCAATTCTTCAACTTTGATTTGACTGTGAATGATTACCTGCTGAAACTCCACTCATTTCTCCTTCGAGCAGTTCTTGCATTATTCCATCCATATCCAGATTTCGGCTATCATCGAAAATAGACTCCATTTCGGCTACACAATAAAAAAAATAATACGAGTTCCTGGAAAGAGACCAGCTGAATCAAACTAAAAATCAGTATGAGAAGTTGCAAATAATTTACGGGAAGTTCATTGGATTTTCTCATTCAAGAATTGGGAGAAGAGCTAGCCTATTAACAAAGACACTCAATAAGATAAAAATTTTGTTACAGAAATGATTTCATTTCATTTTAGATACCTTCAAGCATAATTGGAATATCTGTCATGCAGACAAAATAGTTCCACAGAAAATATTGCCAAAAAAGGATATTCTTGAAAAAGCAGTACACAACATAAAACAGAAATAAGCAAAGGAAACAACGACTTGTGCTTTTTGGATACTTTCCCCTTCCTTTACTTGATGAACGACACGCGGGAATAAATCACACAGAAATACAGCCCAAAAAAATGTAACGCCGGAAAACGAAGAACCAACAAAAACACAGATCGAGATGGATGATCAATAAATTACGGATAACGCTTCCCCGCAGATTTATAACAACTTCTTCACTGCAGTCCCAACGTGTGTCTCACGAGTTTTTGCGCAATCTGATTGAACTGTTGCCTGTCGTCCCGCCACATTTTGGCGGCATCCAGATTCGCAGCGCTTTCGTCATTTGGTTCGGCCAACATGGATACAACCGACAGCAGGATTTTTTCAACGCTTTGCACAGGACTCCATCGTTCAGAGGAGGATTCGTAACCTATTCGAAAAAAAAGTAAATATTTCCATAATTTATTTTTCATAAAAAAATCCGGGACTTGAAAAACTTGAAAGAACACAAACCGAGATTCGCCAAAACTAAACCGGTTTCATCATAGTATCCCGATGACACAAGAGGAAAAAACTTCACCAATTCTCAAAGGACCAGAAAATCAGTCAATAAGACAGAAAATATTGTTGTGGATGAGCAACCTTCACATTCATGGACAGTCTTTTGTATAAGCCTGAGACAAAAACAAATCTGTTGTACAAAAAATATCGTTGTAATGAACCGAAAATCTTTTGATGGAGTACAAATGTACAGATCAATGGAAAAAGCCACTTTCTAAATCAGTGTTCCCAACCTTTTTGGGCAGGCAGACCAGCAAATTTGTATAAAATTTTTGCGCACCAGCCAACATTTTTTGAATATCTGCCATGAAGTCCTCTGAACAAAACTTCTAATGCAAAAATTAAGTTAAGAACCAATGAAGCAGCTCCTGTATAGACAGCATTCCACAAATTTATTTGCCCACAGAACAGCAAATTTCCGCAAAAATTTTTTCGGACTGACAAATTTCCAAAAAATGTTCTGCAGACTAGCTAAGTTTCATAAAATTTTTGCTAGCTCAAAAAATTTCTGAAGGACTTTATGGCAGGCATTTGAAAGCTTCTGCTTCTGAGCAAATATCAAGTTACACACCAATGAAGCAGCTACATGCTGAATGTTATCAAAAAATTGAAAAGGTGGGCTTGAAGAAAAGTTACTCAATATTAAAAATTAAAATAATTAATTTTAGCAGGTGAGAATTTGTCTGAAGCGTTAATAAAAGAGAAATTTTATTTTTCATCAGATAATTTCAATGGCCATTGACTTTCCAAAATGTCAGTTAAGATAACAGACTTCATCGTTACTATCGATAATTTTATTATACTGAAGAAATCACTGTTCTAGAATCCAGATCACAGCTTTTCTAAAAACCTTCCTTTCAGCCAAAATGAGCAAACACAACCAAAAACAAAAATTGGGCCGTCGTGAATTACCTGTTGGATCGTCGCCCGGAGAATGCAAAATGGAGATGCACACTCTCCCGTCCGGGTAAATGTTGGGATGAAACATTTCACACGTGAACTGCATCTTCGGTGGACTCAGGGGATAATCGGAAGGGAACTGAAGCTTTGCCGGGAAAACGCCGCCTTCAAACGGCGTGTCTTCTGGGCCAGTGATCAAGGCTTCCCATTCGAAGAAGTTCTCTTCATTCATCGGGCCAGCGATGATTCCCTCGGGTGGATTCACCGTCAGTTGCTTGTACTCCGCCATGAGTCTTCGGAGGGCGTAACGAGCCATCGTTCACGAACACGCACTGATTTTGCACGACTTTATTATCACTTCGCGAGAAAAGTCAACTCATCTTGAAAGAAAAACTAGTCATCAGTGACTGTGTGCAATGAAGTTTCTGCGAAGCCGATGATGTTTTGACAAAGTCCATTCTTCCCGTTCTCAGCACGCCCCATCAGCATAAAATGCAAGAACTTGCATTGTAATTTTCTTTTCAATTTCAGATAAGCTAAAACTAGCAGGGTGCTGATATTTGCACACTAATGCAATTTGCGTACATATCTATATCAGAAAATCTTGTCCGCAGTTCACAAAACGATCCAGCACTTCTTTTCTTCAGTAATTTTGTTTTTCAAGTTAAAAAGAATCAAGGTATGGTCAGCTTTCACTAATTCAAGATGCACGAGTCATTGACTGAAGGGGAAGAGCAAGGGTTGTGTGACACCATTTTACCTATTCTCGGGAAAACCTAAATTTCGACAGAAATTATAGGTTTCTGGAAAGTCAGAAAACCAGGAAAGTACTTTCAATCGCCCTTAATTGGAATTTTAATTTCGTCTTTTAAAAAATCAGTTCCATTTCAAAATCGCTCTGATTGCTAATGTTAGATGGAAGCGTTTTTGTAGAGTGCCTAAGAATTCGTTGAAAACTTCCAACACGCGGATTTCACAGAGTAGTTCCCTGTGAGAATATTTGTTCTAATGCATGACAAATCTAGGTGTGCTCATATTCGCAAAAATACGGTATATGACTTGAGACGTAGACGGAAATCGGGATGTCAAATTAAATTAGGATTTTATTCAAGACATACTGTGACATGTGCCCGAACTAGAACAAAATATTCCCACAGTGAACTACTCTGGAAAATCTATGAACAAAAATTTTCAACGAATTCTTAGGCACCCTACAAAAACGCTTTCATCTAACATCAGCAAGCAGCGCGATTTTGAAACGGAGCTGATTTTTTAAACACATCTTGAACGGCTTATCAAAAAAGTTCTACAGTAGCTGAGGCCGAAAACAAATGGACACGATAGCGGAAATCCCAACACAGAATACGCTCAACTCGGGAAGGTGTAATTCACATTGCATCTCGCGGAAGAACATCACGAGAACATATCGTCCAAAGAAAAAAAATGAACATGGAAACGAAACCACTAGAAACGGGCTCGGGGACCCTGGCAATTAGAATTTGTTGTTGTCCAAACCCAGAACACATGAGAAGAAGACTCGATCATTTCTCCCCTCGTACTCATCCGCCCCCGGAAAACTACGTCAGAACTAGTAGTAAAAGATACAAAATATGAGTGTCGCACTGTAGAAACTCAGGGACTGAACAGCCGAGGACTTCCGAGCATAGAAGAAGATTTCGACGAAATTTTACACGCGCTTGTTACAACATTCGTCAGAGCTCTAAAAAAAATGCAACGCACCGACAGTAATTCCTCACTCTTACCTCAGAAATCACGAAGCGTACATCTTCGGTTTGCAAATACCGAACCCACACACCACAGGGGACGTCATGCCGTGCCTAAACGCCAATCCGTTCGCCGCTTCACTTCTCGGGACGATTTCATCAAAATCTTTTCGCCTATAACGCAGCCGTTTTGAAAAATATCCTTGTTCCAACGTTGAACATTTCGCCGTTTTCGGAAAATAAATCGTACCGAAGAAAGCCAGATCTGTATAAGAGTTTGCGGAGGCCCTCGCAGCGATGGAATGAAAACGCCTCTGGTGATCCACCTTAAACGGACTCTCGTTCTTCATGCGCAAAATAAATTTCCGTTTCATTTAATCAGAAAGAACAGTGCGAGTCGCTTTCACAAAATGTAACGGAACAATTAAAAAGATCGTAGTTCGTTTTCAAAGATGTCAAGGCTGTTCTGCGAAGTGTTGCATTATTCCGTATGGAAACTGAAGCTCGAAGCAAAATACATAACGGTATACGTATGTAAGTTTCTAACGCAAGATCGCAAAAATGGCGGATATTGGGGGATACTGTCGACGAAATTCAAGATCAATTAATAACTTGATGAATATCCGGACGGGGGAAAGTTGAATCAATATGGTCCAACTTGAGGTCAAGACTCGAAAAAAAGAAAAACATTAGCCAAACTTCGAAAAATTTAACTCAATTTTTAATGACTTCAGATCCAAATGGGCTGAAAAACACTGAATTAAAGTCACAGAAGCAGGATATGAACACAAGAATTTTCCAGGATACTTTCACTACCATATTTCAAGGAGCATTAGGCCTAATCAAACTCTCGCAATACAAACACGAAAAAAATGGAGAATCGACGGCATTCGTGAAATCAAGGTCTCCAGGCAAGCAAAAACAAGAACGGAACGTTTTCTGCCCCTCAGAATAGTAAAAAAAAAAGTTTCATTTCTTCGCACGGAGCCTCGCGGAAGAACGTATCCCGGGCGAAGACTGGGGTTTCGCAGGCACGACGGCCGGAACCCCGTTGGCTACAGACGAATACCCCCAGGGGTGATCCGGCCTCGACTGCATGTATTGCAACATGGCCGGTGTGGGGATCGAGCTGCAAACGGCCAAGTCGATTTTGGAGGCGGCCTTGCCGGACCGCTTCTTGCTGCCCGAACGTCCGCTGGAAGTGTTGCTTTCACTCGTTTTCTGCATCACCGCCACCATGTGCGAGGTGGGTGGTCCCAGCTCACGCAACCGCTCGTCGTGCTCGCTAAGCTCCTCGTCATCACTGGTTTCATTTCTCGCAAGGCGTCTTCTTCCCCTCCTGAGAGATTCGACATTCGAGTTAATCTACGTCGACAAGTGCTAATTCCACAACCCGGGCCTGTCAACGCTTCCGCAAATTGAACCAATTTTAAAACAGATTTTTTCGCTCCACGAATAGATGGGAAGTATCCTAGTAGCGATAGGATTCCCCTTTCTATAGCGAACCCACGCACCCCAAATAAAGGTTACAAGCACTCGGTACTCACTGGTTCCACATCGTAAATTCAAGAAATCCTGGTTACAATAGCACTAGAAGGCAAAAAATGGTGGAGAACTAAATCAAAACATAGATTTCTGCCCCAAAGCCGTTTGGTTCCCTTTAGTGATAATTTAGTAGTCGATGGCCCACGTCGGTGATTTTACTTTTTTTTTTCAATGCTAAATTTTATAATGCTCGATCTAGTTAATTTCAGATTCGGCTCGAAAGATTTTGTTGCAGCACAATTAATGATGTACACCAGCATGAAATTCCAGGAAAACATAATTTTCAACCCAACCCCGAAATTTTAGCCATGATCAAAGAACCAAAAAGCAACACAATAGGAAGATAAATTTTCGAAACAGAAGGAACTCCAGGAGTTCAAGTCTCAGCATTCGTAACCGAAAAAAAAGTGAACTGTAAAAATTGACCATTTATTCACGGATTAAACTTAAAACTCGAGTAACACTATTTGGATTGGATAGGCCTTTTCGAAATAATAGTAAATATCAATGATTAAATCCCATCACGAATAATCGAAACGCCAAAATTCATTGATACAAGAAAATTGTAAGATGACATTCCGTTTTTCAGTGGAATAATCGAGAGTGATATCCATTCATCAAAACGGCGATCGTCAATGATAGCTGAATGTCATCGAACTTACATCGGTGACGGCTTGACTCCGGCAATGGTATTGCTGTCTTTGCCGGATTCTCTCTGAACGTGGCTCACAGTTCCGGCTTTGATGCGCTTCTCTAGGATCTCCGACTCACGGCGGAACTCCGAAGAGTCTCTCCTTCCTCCATTTAAAGCCCTATTCTTCAATTTGTCCTTCAATGCCGGATACTTTGCCATCAAATTCATCGCTTGAGCAGGAAACATCAAGCCCACGTCGTGGGCAGACGATTCCGTGGATTTGGATGACACGCAGGACTTTTCGGGACTGGGAAAACGCTGTTTGTTCCTTAGTGGCGGTCTAGGAGAACTTGAGATACTACGACGACTCTTTTTCTTTCCTTTGTCTGACGGTTTCGGGGAGTCGGCTTCAATGTTTTCTTCATTGGACGCTCGACGGCGTTGTTTCCCAGGTTGCATTTTCACAGAATTATGCGGGAAATTCAGCCTGAAAATTCGAAGAATTTCAGATGATTGTAATTCCACGTTTCAACCGGGAAATTCACGCGCTCCTGAACAAATAAAAACGCGATAGTTCGCATTTCCTTGGTCTAGGAAACGCGTGCATTACCAAAGCAAGTCTCAACATTATCCACTCAACAAATCAACGAATGTGTTTTGTTCTGCTTTCATACTTGCTCTTACGAAGTCAACCTAATAACATGTGACTCACTTTCCATCGTCGGCCCCACCGCACTCCTTCAGACCAGCGAACAAAATGCTCCGAAATTTGTCATAATCCGGAGTTTCGTCGAATTTGAGTCCTCCAACGTACTTGAAGAACTCCAACAGAAACTTGGGAGGGGTACGCTTTTTATCCAAAGAGGAGAAAGCTTTTTGCAAAAAGGCTGTAGTGTTTTTGAAGGCGTTGTTCTTCTCCGTATGAACTTTGTTATCGTCTGACTCCGATTCCCAAGGAAGAGTTCCAATCTCCCACAAAGCCATACAGTATCCCAAAGTTTCGAGATCTCCGCGACGAGAAGTTACACCCATGTGTGCATCGCGACAAGTGTATTCACGAGTTCCGTTGTGGGCAAACCGTCGATCATGCCTGGAAAATAAACGCTTTCATTACATTCTTCCGAGGAAATATCGCACTCACGCGTATTCGACGCTCTATACATTTCAAGATGTTAACTTTCTTTCGAGCACAGCGAACTAGAAAACGATCGCTGGCAAATCAAAAAGGCAAAGACACTCGATACGCAAATTTCGACACGTTAACATATTTTTGAATTACAGTACCTCTCAAAGCACAACTGCCTTTAAAACCAACTAATAAGATGCCCATTTAACACTTGTACACGAGCGTAATTTCAAGTAAAATGAAATTATACTGTTACTACGATCAATATCACATCGAGTAGATCCACTCCAATGAAGCTCATCAGCATCACACACAGGTACTGTATAACATCACTCAATACTCACTTGTATTCCATGTGCTTCCCTCCAATCAGGTAATTCCGGGCGAGCCCAAAATCTATCAGAAAGATTGCATCTTTCTTCTTTCCTCCGTAACCGATCAACAAATTAGCTCCTTTAATATCATTGTGCGTGTAACCCTTGCTATGAATATATTCTAGAATATCCACCACTTTGAGGCCTATTTTACAAATGGTGGCCGTGGGTAAACGTCGACCACTATCTTCAAACAGCTTGTGGATATCCTCGCCGTACCGGTCCATGATCACAAATCGATATTTCACAGAGTTGTAAACAATATTTCCAAATCCAACCAACTGGGGAAGGCCAAGAAATGATAATTTGTTGCGTTGCTTCCATTCTGAGATGAATTCAGGGCGGGCCATTCGCTGCATCGCATGGAATTCGGTGAATAGTGGGCCATTGTCAAACGGTTCGATCTTCGCCACATATTCGGCACCTATTCGAGAGAAATGGAAGTTCAATTACTATAAAATAGGGCTGTATGACGTAATAAGGACTTTACCAGACGAGACGTCCTTCCCACATTCGGCTGAAGCGGTAAAAATTACACCGAAGCCGCCAACTCCTATGTTCTTCCCTAAACGCCAACGACCAACCTTTGATACGTATGAGCAACCTTCCAGAATCGTACCAGTAGGAATGGGAACACCTGGACTCGGGCGCTTGCGAGGATTTCCGCACTTCCCCTTCGCGGCCATTTTACGCGATAAAAGCTAACTGGAGACTAAATTTACCGTACAACGCGCTCTAATTTTCGTCAAGCAGAGCCGCGAAGCCAGACTTCGGATTCTGGGTCAAAATTGTTTGAAGGTACCAACACGACAGCTTCATCCGTAAGTTCTCCTTCTTCACGTGCTCAAAAGCCCCCTGTAAGAAAAGTAAGACCCCAACATAATTTCTACAAGTCATCGGCGCTCTCCGAATCTGCCAACAACAACAAAATCCCGTAACACGCGGCACTCACGGCAGCAAGCTTTTTAGCAATCCCTCTTCCTCTGAATTCGTCGGGAACCTCAGTATGATACAAATCGATGACTCCCGGCTTGAGCACCCGATACTCAATCCTAGCAGGTTCTGATGCAGAAAACGGAATTATGTGCACAACTGCTACGACTAACTGTGCAAATTATCTCACCGGAAGAACCCTCGATATTCAAAATGAATTTCTTTTGAGCCCGGTTATGAACAACAGTTTCGTATTCACTCCGTGAACTTCCAACAGCATCCGCCGACATCGACAATGTTCGTACACCGAAGCTTACACAGCTCGAATTCGCCCGAGCACAAGAATTTTGTGAAATTTTTTGGAACGACCGCCACATGCTACCGTCTTCAGAATGAAATCTACCTCAATATGTGTCACGCTAAAAAAGCTAAAATTCACCAGATATTCACGATCTCCTGATAGCAGCTAACGTGATACTCGCCCAATTTCCAGCGCGCGCGAATCCGCTCAAATGTTATGTGCTTTATCCCCATAAATGTTATGTGCTCCGCGTGAGTTGAATTCGCAGTTTACGCAATGTTCATTCATGAAGAGTCCATTAACTGGGGTCTTCCATGAACACGGACATTTTGAAATTATGGAAGTAAAATCCTATATATCTGCATATTTTCTGCAATTTGAAAACTTTTGAATTCTCGATCGTGTGGAATTCTACTGGTATCGACTAGAATAACATACAAAGTTAACTAAATTGAATGTCCACCCATGTATTACAACATTGCCTACTGACGGCTCTCGTACAATACTTCTTGTAGCTACCGTACTTCGCCTACCTGCAGGAATCCTTGTTGGATTCATGTTGGCTGTTTTATTTTTTATTTTTTATGCTTGAATATTAGGTCGAGTATCGCAGAACAATAAACAATATGTACAAGTTCTTTGGATATTATTATCCTTTCTTGGACTTATTTTGCATGCATGGAGACAAACTTTCGTAATTATTCTTACATCAAAGGAAGAACTGAAAAAGTCAATGCAAGAAAAACAGTACTGTACAGAACTTCTTTTCACAGAGATAAGCAGCATAATTCTGGTACGGCGAGAAAGGGGTCCACCAGAAAACATGCCTCTGTCCTCCCTGATGGTCATGTGCATATGATGCACTCAATGCCCATCATTCATTTATAATTTTTGGATACTCACTCAGTATCATCAAAACAACTTCAATGGCTGGAATCACAGTGAAATTAAAAAAGGGAGCACTTGATTAATTTGCTGCAATTCCTTGGTTGAAGTTGTCTCGCTAAATGTATGCTAAACTGCGGCCACAATGAATACGAGGCTAATGCAGACAATTCATTGAAATTTTCTCCAGCTTATGGCGGAAATTTTCAACCCACCTCAATATTGCAACTCAAAAACAGAACTTTCGCCCGTTATAGAGCGTTCCATCGAACCAATGTTCAAAAAATCCGTTAGATCACCTTTTAATCGGATCTCAATGAAATAAGTCTTCTTCAATATGTGAATTCAGCCTAGGCAGAAAATTTACAGCATGTTCTGATTTTTTTCAATTTAATTTGGCTTTGATTTTTAACAAATAAATCAACGTTTTTCCGAAAGCATGAAACGTTTCGTCTCCGACTGTAAATAATTAGGCTGAGGATGAGAAAATGGCGCACATCATCGTCGTAGACTCAATAAAATCAGAGCAAATTTATTTTCTTGACAAAGTATGCTGAACAAAAACGAATGCACCACAATCTACAGGCGGGGTTTTGTATGCAGATATTTTCCGTGGCATCAAAACAAGGAAGATGTATTCGATTATAACTATATGCAGCATAGAAATAACGCCGCCCTGGCGAAGAGAAGTTTTCGCAGCCTGCTGAGAAATTCCTTAACGCGGGAAGCAGCTGTCCTTAGGTCTGTGACTTGCTCGTCCAAAAATGCCTAGCAGCATTATACACGAATGAATTATTAATAAGAATAAAAAGAGTTCCAAGAGGAAAATGAATCGCTGGAGGGCCGAGGATACGAGGCCACAGCAGCGATCCTCAGGCTCTCTCGTCCATCCCTGGCCTCAGAATATCTAGCTGTTCGGTGTATCAGTTTCTAACTTCCGCGTACAGTAGAAAACCGGTCAAATGCCTCTTATACAGTCCAACCCTTTCAAAGTCGAATTTCCATGAAACCCTGGAAAAATTCCAAGAGGTTTTAAAATCAGGAAAGAAAGCATCTATCTTGGGGTAAAGAATGATGAAAACAGCCCTAGGAAATTGTAACTGGGGATATTCTGGGCCTCAAATTGCTTCTTAAATGAGTTGATAGGATGCTAAAGTTGGAGGCAAGGGTTCATTTGTCTTTCACACTCTTTTCAAAACACCGGAATTTACATTTTTCTTGCTTTTCTTTTTTCATTCCTGCCTGAACGATATAGTAGACCAAAAGGCCTCCAGAAAATTTGAGTTATGGAGGTTTCAGAGGGAATATGCTTCTGAGTTAGGGGGGTTTTCTGACTTGAAAAAAATTTGACAAAGGGAGGTTCAAGTGATCAAGGTTTAATTGCATATAGCTGCACAAATGCATGCATTCTTCTGAAAATATTTTAGGCTAACTAATAAATCCATGGTCTTGTACTTTCTTCTTGTAAGTACCATGCACCCTTGAAAAACGCGCACCTCAATTTTTGGAACAAAATTTAGCAAAAGATCACTTGTCCCCTGGGTAAGACGCGCAAGCAGGGTTTCTCTGTGACTTTACATCAATTTTATTTTATAGGAAATGAATACTAAAATTTTAAAGATAGAGTAATTAAGTTTTAATTCAATCGTGACTTTCTGCATTTCTTTTGATTTCACATTTTCATCTGCCAATTTGATTCAAGCCATAAAATGTATTTTTCTCATGCACTTTATTATTTAAAAGATGATTCTTTTAAACTTTGCTGAATGCATTATTTAATGTGTGATGCACCCTGAAAAGGCACAAACTTCCAAAAATTTTGTATTGCATACAGGTGGTAACCTTGCAATTTGACCTCCTGCAATTTGACTGTCCCAAAATTTAACTCAAAATTCATTTGCCCCACAATTCAACCTACTTTGGCCATTTTTTGCATTTTTGCATCATTGATATGTTTGAATTTCACCAAGTGTCTCCCAATTTGACCCTAGTTTGGCAACAGATGACCCTACTTTGGCAACAGATTAGGGTCAAATGGCAAGATATCACTTGTATTTGAATTGGAGTATGAAGCACATATCATTCCCAGGCTATTGCTTTTATAAATAATTTAGGGGTGGTATATTGGTACTTTACTACATGAAATAAATAATTTTAGCACTACTGTAGTATTGAACGTATTATATACAGTAATTAATTTTTTCTCCACACACCCAGAAGAAAAGCACACAGAAAAACTGAACACTACTGTATACATAAAAATGCACAACTGTATACTGTATATAAAAATTGAACTTATAATATTTTTTTAAATGGGTAGCATTTATTAAAATTTTTACTAAGTCAGAGAATTCATGGATTGGATTTGGCAGCATTCTTTTGCTGTACAGCAGAAAAAATGTTTTTAGGCATTATATTTTGCTTTGCTTAAAAATTATTCCTATATGCAGCTTTTATTTGAGTGATAACATGATTACATGATAAGTGAATGGATCAAATCTCTAGGCAGCAAAGCTTTTGGGACCAACAAAAATTGTTCCGTAAATTATTAAATACAAAAAAATTGAGAATCAAAACATTACTTGTACCCGAAATGCAGGAACGAAACTGATAAATATTTGGTGTAAGCAAGAATTTAATATCAAGTTTTTTAGAAATGAAATTCTGTTTTACAGTGGGGTCTTGGATGCATCAGACATAATTATTTCCTACGCTGTGTCCATACGTTCAAATGTCCTAAAGTCTGATCACAGCATTTTCCAATAAACTTAGATGGAAAACACATCTCACATTTGTCGAACATCCAAAAAAGACCTGCAAAATTCAATGAAAAAATAATATTCAACTTCAAATTCACCGAAAATGACTATACAGAGGAAACCTTTCAAAATACAGTAGTTTGTATTTTTTTGACCAAATAAGTTAACAGTCAGATCAGCACAGATGAACCACTTGAAAAGAGAAGTGCGAAATTTGATTGTTTTGGAAAATGAATCAAAGTAAATATTTTTCTATCTATCTTTTGAGTTTTTCCCATTATAGCAGTAGCTCCATGTGTTCATAAAATGGAAAGATTCAAAAATTTTCAATTTTCTGAAAATGTTGGCAACGTTCATATCTTTGTAAAATTGTTGTCCAGATCATTTTCCATTTTTTTCAAATTTAAAGTGACAATTAGCTGAATTCGCATCTGCATGCTGGGTGGGATCCAAGCATGAGTCAGGTCCACACCTTACTGTATATATTCAGTGCAGTATAGATAGCCTATTCAATAATGCTTACGTTTCATTTTTAAATTAAAAATACCATTAGGAATTGAAATATACGCATGCACATATACACCGGCTTTGGCCTAAATTCTCTCACCCTGAGGCAAAATAATCCAACTGCTCAGCTCCACAGCCGACGGGGCCTTCCTTGTGCTCCAATCCTCGCGTATAATACTGTACGTACAAGTACTGTACCCACTTATGTACGCCGCGCACCCTTGCAATGCGGTGGCATTTTCCTGGGTGAGAATGGCCTTCCAGTTACTCTGCGTTTAGTATTTTTCCAACTTCACTCATTTTGAATACTGCTAATGCTCTCATTTTTTGTTTGTATTTTGCTGTTGTCACTCAAATGAGGCAAATCAAACAAAGTGAGGCCCCAAATTTTGGACACCCCAACATATCTGCAGACAATTTGACTTATGGACACATAAATAGAACTGAAAAAGTACTGTACTCCCAACCTTCAGAAAATGACTTGAAATACAGGCACTTTTCCTAAGTTTTTGAAATAATTTAAGAATTTTGGTTTCTTTAAAGTTAGATATTCTTTAAAAAACCGAGCTAATTGATTTTAGATACAATGCTTTCAAATAAATTTCATTGTAAAAGTACCCTGATTCATGTTGAAAAACAGGTTAATTTTGTGCTTCATTTTTCACTTTTTTCCAGCATGCGTGTATACAGTTTAGCAAGACTTTTTCTTGGTCTTGGCTTTTTGAGCTCCTTCTGATGAAACAAGATCAGATTCTGTGTGTTTTCATCCTGTTTCTTTTTTGAATGTTCGTGCTGAGAAAATTAGCATTTTATCCCATTTTTGATTATGCACCAATTACAGTACATCTGCATCTTGGGGTTGCCTTGTAGTTATTATTATTTAAAATTATTTCGCCAACTGTGTATATATGATGGCTATACTGCATACATGCAGCTCTGTG